TCCCAGCCCACATTACACAGTCTCACAATATGAGTATCTAGATAAAAAAGAAACCTGATATAATTATTGACAGCATTCAAAGTGCTTTGTATATATTCTCCCAATTTTCCCATTTCAAAACATAGTTGCAGATATCGGGCTGGAGAGATGGCTCAGCAATTAAGGGCACTGGCTACTCTTGTAGAGAACATGGGTTCAATTCCCAACCCCCACATGATGGCTAACAATCATAGGTAACTCCAGTTCCAGGGGATCTGATACCCTCTTCTGATTTGCATGGGCACTGAATGACACAGCGGCACTTACATACATGGAGACAATATACTCATACACATAAAATAAAAATAATAAAAAATATTTGCATATATTTCAAACATTAGCCTATGTCCTAGTTTGTTCTTCATTGCTGTGACAAAATACTCTGACCACTACCAACTTGGGGAGGAAAGGGTTTATTTAGCTTACATATCCCCAGTCACAGCTCATCAGGGAGCCCAAGGTAGAACTCAGGGCAGGAACCTGGAGGCAGGAGCTGAAGCACAGGCCATGGGGGAATGCTGCTTACTGGCTTGCTCCCTTGGCCCCTCCCTGCTCAGCCTGCTTTCTTATGCAACACAGGCCCACCTGCCAAGGGGTGGCACCACCCACAGTGGGCTGGGCTCTGCCATATCACTCAAGTAGATTCCCCACAGACATGGCCACAGGCCAGTCCAAAAGAGGAAATTCCCCAATTGAGGCTCTCTCAACCCAGGTGTGTCAAGTTGACACTAAAGCTATCCAGCACAGGCTACATAGTAGATTCTCAATCTCTTGGTCCTCATTTTCTCTTAATTCCATGAGAAACTATGTATTTAATACTTATCAAGTCGTATAATAATGCCTTTAATATTTTCTTTCGGGCATTCTAAAACATAAACATCCCTCTCAAGTATACTGTTATCCAGTACAACTTTTAAAATTACACATTATGAGTATGTCTAGCTGTCAGATCCCCTGGAGCTAAAGTTACAGGCAGTTGTGAGCCACCTGACACGGGTGCTGGTAATCCAACTCAGGTCCTCTGTAAGAGCAATACATGCTTTTGACCACTGAGTCATCTCTCCAGCCCCTCAATACAACTTTAAAAAATATTTATATTTTATGTATATGAGTATTATGCTTACATGTGCGTAAGTGCACCCCTGTCATGCGATGCCAGCAGAGGCCATTGGATCCCCTGGAACTGGAGTTACAAATGGTTATTAGCTGCCACGTAAGTGCTGAGAACCAAACCCAGTTCTCTGAAAGAGTAGCCAGTGTTCTTACCCATTGAGCCATCTCTCCAGCCCCTCAATACAATTTTTTGATGGCACAAATATTATTTATATTGTCTAATTCATTAGCTACTAATTACATGTGGTTTTGTACACTAGCATAATGCTAACCTGACTGAAAACTAAAGGTTTATTTAATGGCAACTAGTGTGTCACATGTAGCTTCAGACTCCTTTGGTTCACTACAGAGCTTTAGCAGATTCTTCAAGAAGGGTTCATGGAAGCAGTTTCTGATTCTTAAATACCATTCTTTATGTTTATAAAACACATTGGCTGGTTATAAAAAAGGTTTGGTTCTTAAGTCCTTTGAGCACTGAAAATTTCACATTGGGCAGGGGGATGGGTGCCACAGCTTGTGTGTGGAGGTCAGAGGACAACTTGTCTGAGTCAATTCTCTCCTTCTACAATGTGGATTCTAGGGACTGAACTCAGACTGTCTTAGCAACAAGCATGTTTACCAGATGAGCCATGTAGTCAGCCTGCTTTGAGTATTATAAATTCCACTCCATTTTCTTCAAACATAAAGCACTGCTGTCAAAATTTGATGACTATAATTTTCTCTTATATTCCATGGGTTCTTCAAAGGACTTTATTTTTCTTTAATGTTGAATGATTTTACTAGACTATCCGGATGTTTATTCCTCTGGATTGATACTGTTAAGTATGCAAGGCTATTAAGCATGTTTCAAAGGTCTCCAGCATTTTAAAGTTCCAACAAAGTTTCTAAATTAGATGTTTTAACATTTTTCTACTTCCTTAAGTTTTCTCCTTCAGAGATTTCTATGAATATTTGACCTGCTATACCTAACTTAAATGCATCATCGTTTTTGAATTATTATCTTTGATTTCTTTTTCAATTTTCAGTTCTTTTTTCTTATATCTTTAATCCTCCTAATGTAGTCTATTGTATATTTCCCCAGGCTCTTTATAGTCTTCATTACTGAAATGATCTCCTAGTTCTTTTCTGAATTCTGTTACTTTGTGTAAGTTTTTATAATTCTCTTATTTTTTAAATTTTGGTATTATTTTATTAATGTCTTTAACTCATTTTGCAATAGTCTGTTTCAATTTTAAGTGTGGTTGAATTCTTTAGTAGATACATTTCTGACATGATTTACCATCTATAGGGATATTATTCTTTTTTAAAATGCTTTATTATTTTTATTTCATGTGTATGAATGTATTGCCTGCATGTATGTGAGTGCACCCGTGTCGTACAATGCTGCGGAGGTCAGAAGAAGACTTCAGATTCCCCTGGAACTGGAGTTAAGGACGGTTCGTAGCTGCCCTGTGGGTGCTGGGAATCGAACCCGGGTCCTCTGCAAGAGCAGTCAGTGCTCTTAACTGCTGAGCCATCTCACCAGCCCCTATTCTATTTTTTTCCTGAGATATCCATGTACAACCATTTGACTTTAATGCTTTACTTCTGTTTACATTTCTTTTATGTGTATACATGTATTGCCTGCATGTAGGTAGATATACCTGTGTCATGCAGTGCCCATGGAGGTCTGAAGAGGGCACTGGATCCCCTGGAACTGGAGTTATAGATGGTTGTTAGCTTCCATATGGGTGCTGGGAATTGAACTTGGGTCCTGTGCAAGAACAAGCAGTGTTCTTAACTGCTGAGCCATCTCTCCAGACCCTTCTTTTTGCATTTCTATGAAATTATCTTTCAGGGAATAAAGTATAGGGCAGGATATAAGGTGGCTTTTTCAATGTTATAGAATTATTTCTCTTGTCTTTGTGCAGTGTTCAAATCATGACTATTTTCCAGAATTCATTGGTTCTATTCTCTACAACTTTATTCTCTGTATAATCTCTTCCCCATCCTGATCAATTTTAACTCTCTCTTCCCACCAATTTTCTCCAGGGAGAAATACTATTCAGGAAGCGAACCCTAGAAGATCAAGCTTTAAGTCTTTCTACCAAGTGCCACATGGACTTGCAAGTCCCTTTCCAGTTTTACCTGTGGCCTCAAAATTGACCATTCTACTTTCTAGTAAATTCTTATTAGGTGTTTCAGTAGACTGTGATGATACCAGGTCACCTAGTTCTGTTGCAAATGCTGTCCATGGCTTTGGGTTTTGCTATTTCCATTTTTCACATGGGAACTTGGATAAAAAGCTATGCTGTTGCTACTGCATTCCTAAAACTCTGTAATTTTAAATTATATTATCTCATTAAAAATCAACAACTGCCAGGCATGGTGGCACATGCCTTTAATCCCAGCACTCGGAAGGCAGAGGCAGGCGATCTCTGTGAGTTTGAGGCCAGCCTGGTCTACATAGTGAGTTCCAGGACAGCTGGGGCTACAAGGAGACCCTGTCTCAAAAAGA